AGGGGGATGTCCAGTATTCCTGCTTTACAGGACAGGAAACTAGGCAGAATGAGGTGATGTGACTTGCCCAGGGTCTCACAGCTAGTGATTATCAGAAACTGCATTTGAACACAGGCCTTCTGTGCTTTACCCACTGAGTCACCCAATTGCCCACAGGCCTCTAGCATACCTCGTGCCCGGGCCTGGTGGATTCACGGTCACGGGCTCATAGACCTCGGGCCAGAAGGGTCCTCTGAGATCATCTAGCCCAGAGAGAGGTGAAGTGACTTGGGATTTGAACCCAGGACTCTTGACTCCGAGTTAAATACTCTCCACTCTACCCTGCTGAGTCTTGTATACACACATACATATGCACATGCACACATATGTGTACACACATACACACACACACACACATGCACATAATTTCAGATCTAGAGCTGAGAGGGTCCTTAGTGGTTATCTGGTCCAGTGCCCTTGCTTGCAGATTATGAAAATGAGGCCCAGAGAGTCCCAACAACCCCCCAAGATGGCGCAGGTGACCCAGGGCCCGGGCTTATTCCACAGCAGGGCTCTGGAAGCCCCGGCCTCCGGCCACCCCTCACATGCCCTTCCCAAGGACGGATCCCAGAGAAGACTTTCACAGCCGAGATCAACTTGTCTTTTACCTTTCTCCTGTCAGGCATCTTCCCACTCATTTTCTTCTACTTATAGCCCTCCCCTGCTCGATCACAGAAATAAGCATTTGCTTTTTAGATGAGCAATACTACTGCCAAAAGCCACCCAATTTGATAGTGTGTGCAACATTCTGTGCCCGCAGTCCCCCACCTCTCCACTGAGAAGAAGGATGTGGTTTCTTTTTTATTCTCAGAACCAAGATGGCTCATTGCCGTTCATCCAAATTCAGCTGCCTTTTAGAGTTATTTCCAATTGCATTCTTGTAATCACTGTGTAGTCCAGGAGGCTCTTTTCCCTTGTGTGTGTCCTGGACCCCTTAAACTGAAGTTTGGTCAAACTTAGGAACCCCTTCTTAGAATCACGTTTTTAAATGCTTAAAGTAAAGTAAAATACAGAGGATTACAAAGAACATCAATGATAGTGAAATAAATGTTACTGTTTTTCCATCCCAGATCTTGGACCCCTGAACTCTACGCAGGGAATGCTTGTTGGGTAGTTTGTGGCCCCCCATGCACAAGGCTTCTGACTCTAGCATCACCTGCCTGGAGTCTCAGGATCTCTTATACTCTCTCTCTTTTTTTTTTTTGCTTTTTTTGGTGAGGTAAATGACTTGCCCAGGATCATACGGCTAGTAATTGTCAAGTGTCTGAGGCCAGGTCCTCCTGACTCCAAGGCTGGAGCTCTATCCACTGCACCACCTAGCTGCCCTGATCTCTCATATTCTCACGACAGTTTTCTAGAAGTGCTGACTTGGGTCTTGATACTGAATGTCGCATTCATACAGAGTTCAGCAAAATTTACATTTCAAGCCTCTCCTTTGGGCTCTCACTCTGTCCTGATGAATGAAAGGTGATCTTGGAGTTTGCCTCTAATCTTCAGAGCAGGATAATCTGTGGACCTAGTGATGATTAGATTTTCTACAAAATAAATGAGAACTTCCTGGTTGTCCTTTCTAAGTTTGCTTCTGGTTGATTGTCTGATTCACCTGACCTTTGGACGAGTCATTTCATTTTTCTGTGCCTCAGTTTATCTCAGATTGGTAAATGCACCTCTGCTTCACCAAAGCCCAGGTTCAGCGTCTCCCTGCTCTAAAGCCGTAACTTGGGGCCTCTGAATTCTATGCTAATGGATACAAACTTTGGCCTGGTCTCACATGGCCAGTCTTGCCAATTGACATTAAGGCACTGGGCTCAGCTCTTGGGGTACAAAGACAAAAGGAAGTAGTCCGGGCTCTCAAAGCACTTAGTCTGTAGGTAATAAACCGCCTGTGGGATAACCAGCCTGGCTAAGTGTGGGGCATCTGGTCACTGGAGGGTGGGAGATTATTTTTTGGGCCATAACAACTCACTGTCTGGTCTTCCAAGGGGAGGAGCCTCTGAGTGAGCTGTCGGTGAAGGGATACTAGTCCCAGCCATCACACGGAGCCCATGATCGGATTACAGGGAAGATGCCTAATCCCAGGAGCATGTCCTGAGCAGCCCCGCAGGTCTGGGAGGTGTTCTTAGGAGTATCCACATGACAACAGGTCTAAAGCAAAGGGGATTTGCTTTACTAGGAGAAGCAATTAACCAGAGAACCTGGCCTCCAGCACCTTCAGATGTCAGCTGGTGGAAACGGGTTTGAAAGCTCCCTCCAGCTTCCAAGTTCAAGGACTGGTGGAAGAGATGGGTTTCCGGCCTCGAACTTCTCACCATGGCCCCATAACTTTTGATTTTTATTTCTAGCTAAGGTCTCATTTAAAACTTGCAGAATGTATGCCTTTTTTTCACATTGTCATTTCTGAAAACGTCCTAACTTTCGACTTCTCATTGAGCCTTCCCTTGTAACAAAGATTTTTTAAAAAGAAGTTCACAAAACCAAGAGGCCGGTCCACTGCAAGTCTGTGGGCTGTTCCACCAAGGTCTGCCTCCCCCCAACCTCGTCCTCTTCTCCCACCCCCTGCAGTGAAGGCTCTTCCCAATTCATGAAACTTATCAAAGCATTCATCTTCACTTTACTGGTCCTTCCATGTACATCACTGTATGGTGTCTGCTGTTTTCCTGGTCTTAATTATTTCACTGCATTAGCTCATGTAAGTCCTCCCTGCTTCTCTGCATTTTTCATTTCGCATTTCTTAAGGCAATGAGAAATCCCTATGTGGGTGCCTACTTAGCCAACATGTATTATTACTATGGGCCAGGCGTTGTTTAAGCGTGAAAACAAACATAATTATGTACAAACAGTGGGCGTGTGTGTGCTGTATATATGTATGTGCATATATGTAGATGTAAACCTATATACATATATGTGTGTGTGATATATATGCATGTGAATATGTGTAACACACAAAGAGTAACCAGAAGGTAATCTCAGCAGGAAGGCCCTAGAAGTGACAGTGACGGGACTAAGAAGGCCGCCTGCAGAAGGTGGGCAGAGGTGAGGAGGGATGGTGCTCCAGGGGTGGGGCACAGCCCGTACGAAAGCACAGAGATAAGAAATGGAGTGTTGTGTGCCAGAAACCTCAAGGTGGCCATGTAACTGGATTACACAGTATATGGAAAAGGGTCACTGGAAGAAGGTAAGGAGAGGCCAGACTGTGAAGGCTGGGACCTTCACAGGCCCTTTAAAACCAAACAGAGGATTTTCTATTTGGCCCTGGGGGTAAGGGGGAGTCACTGGAGTTTACTGAATGTGAGGAGGGGGCATGCTCACACCCCACGGGCTTGAAGAGGATCAACTTGATCATTGAATGGAGGGTGGAGGGGAGTGGGGGGAGGGACTTGAAGCGGTTGTGGAGTTGTGAGGGAGGGGCTGCACCAGGGAAGATGCCATGTGGGTACGCACATGCAAATCTACATGCATGTGCACACCACGAAAATGTATAGACACGCATGTGTATGTGTGCATGCGTGTGCACTCACATACATACATGTATGTACACATATACACACGTATGTGTGTGCGCATGGCAGATGGGGTGAGGGTGACTCCACAGGACTTGAGACAGACCGGACACGGGGTGGGGTGAGGATGACCCCGAGTTCATGGTCCTGCAGGATAGGATGGTGATGCCCTTAGCAGTGGGGAAGTTGGGAAGGGGAGAGGAAGGTTGGCTGGTAAAGCTGCAGCCCCCAGAGCTTTGAGGCAGATGCCTCACAGACATTTTGCACCCGACCTCCCCTCGATACCCAGAGGAGGAGAGAAGTAGTGTTATCATCGGTGCTCTGGCAGCAAGTCATCACTCCCTGCAGTCGGAGCCAAGCTAACGACTTCTCCCCTCCTGCGGTTCAAGTCCATCCCATTCTCCCAGTGCTTTCTTCTCCACGTCAGCCTATATAAGGGGGATGGAGGGGGCGTTTCGGAGTATGAGCACCTCTGGGATGCGGGCTACTCATCCACTTTTGGGGTCCCCCTTCACCAAATTCACCAGTGGCTCCGTGAAGCTGTCACATGTGCAGTGGTCACACCCCGGTAAACAAACTAAACCAGGTAAGTGACAGGCCCCAGTCCTGGCGGTGAATTAGGGGGTGTCCACCCCAAGCATGTGAGGACTTCCCCTGGCTGGAGGGGGGAGGAGAATAGCTTGTCCCAACAGCCACGAAGGCGGCGTAGAGCTTGGTCAGACACGGAAGACGCCAAGGCCATCGCCAGGCAGCCTGACTTTTGTCCTGCTCCTGGATGTTGATGACTCCGGCACAGCGAGCGAGGAGGGCGACTGGGCAGCTCTGCCTCACTTAAACCCAGCTCACGCGTGAATCACTGGGCATCTTCAAAAGCGCATGCACAACAGCTCGTACAAATCTTCCTTCCTGTGTTTCTCTGGCTTTGTCACGGTGTCAGCACCACAAAATATCCCACTGCATTCTCAGACCACAATCGGTGCAGCCAAGGGCTGGTTTGCTGCTGCTACAGATAGAGTGGCTGTGGATACTTTGTTGGCCCCTCTCCCATCCCCACTAAACTGAGCTGGAGAGGGAAATGGCAGACCACTCCAGTGTCTCTGCCAGGAAACCCCCCGCGGGGTCACAGACAGTCAGAGATGATGGAAAGCGACTGAACAACAGCGTAACAACACGCGGGGATGCACACAGCATACAGCGCACACGCTCTAACATCCTGCTAAGGCGTCGGGCTAGACAGCCTCTCTGTGCCCTTCCAAGATCCCCTCTCCGGGCCTCAGTTTTCCCATCTGCAGAGTCCCCAAGGCCCCCGATCCAGCGCTCCATCCTGACTCTGTGGTCCAAGTCCACAGGTGGGAAGGTGGGGGTTAAGAGGGCAAGGAAAGAAGAGTCCAAGGCAGATGCCAGGACCAGAAGGGTTAAATGGGATAGATTTCAAGCTGAAAGCAAAGAGCATAACCTGAGCCTACTTTAAGTCCCTTTAATCTGCTGCCTCCTGTCTGAATAGCAAAGAGCGTGTGTGTTTAACGTCCTGATCTTGGACCCGGGGCCTGGCCCAGCGAGGAGGTGGTAAATATTGACAGCGGGCATCCAGCGTCCCGGGGGCCCCATTTGTCCTCCTGCGCGTAATCCCTCTGTGGGTGTTGAATGAGTGGAGGGAAGGAGGAGGAGGAGAAGGAGGAGGAGGAAGAGGAGGGGGAGGAGGAGGGGGAGGAGAAAGGAGTCGTCCATCCCTCAGGAGCCAGGCATCTCCTGGAGCTGACTGCTGACACACGGTGTGACGGGCTGCCCCATCTTCCCTGCTCCGTAAACACCAAGGTAACAAGGGGGCTCTGTGCCCCCCGTGCGGTCGTATCCCGGCTACAGCTGGCAGGGCAGTGACTGATGAATGCACCAAGGAGATGGCCTTGGGACGTCCTCACCAAGAGCTTCCTGAGGTCCAGGGGGAGGACGGCAGCTCCTGTATTAATGGTCTTCTGGACAGGTGCCCACAGAAATGAGAACTGGAAGGAACCTTCAAGCTCACCCAGGCCAACCTTGTGATTTTACAGATGATGAAACTGAGGCCCAGAGAGGGAATCGGGGACTCAGCCAAGGTCACCCAGCAAACCTTGGTGGACTGAGGGCTGGAGGCCTTCCTGGAGGAGATGGGCCACAGGAAGAACCTTTCAGTAGATGAAGTCCACTGACCTCCATGATGCTAATGGATCCTCAGAGCAGTCCAGCCCACATGCACCCTACCTCCATGGCTCTCTACATTTCCAAGGCAGTAACAGATCCTTCATTATCAGGTTTTGTATCTGGAAAATGAAGACTCCAGTCTGCGACCCCAGGCAGCCTTTCTTCTGTTAGTGGCTTGGCAGAAACTCTTAGCACCACAGATTTGGGCTGGAAGAGGCCGATCAGTCCAGCTGAGCAGCTGAGGCTCTGAGGGCTTGCCTGGTGACTTACCTAATGTCACACAGTAAGGAGAAGAAGTAGGATTCGAACCCAAGCCTTGTGACTCAGGTGTCTTTTTCCACTTCCCTGGGCATAAGCCCTCAAGATGCAGATGATGTAATGGCAGCATCGATGAAGCTGCAGGCACTGGGGGGAGCCAGCTCGGGCTCTGGGATGGGGGGGGGGGTCTTGCTCCTGCCTTCTGTTACCTGCAGACAGGGAGGCCGCAAGATGGGGGGGAGCCGGCAGTGACAGTGGGGGCAGGCGGGGCATCCTCAGGGCCTGGGGCAGATGTACTCATCTGACCAGTCGGAGCAGTGCTGCACGCGGTCCCGGCAGAGGTGCCGGGGGACACAGCCACAGTATTGGTACAAGGTGGAGGGGCAGCTCCACCACTGAGGCCCACAGGGCGGGCATCGGGCCACTAGGGAGGGAGAAAAGAACAACATAAGAATGTCCAGCCTGTTCCCTCTGCTCCCCCATGTTCAGCAGCTCTCCCCGGCCCGGGGCCGAGCTCCTTACTCCTCACTTCAAGGCCATCACCCAAACCTGCCAGCTTTGTCTCCTCCTGACCAACCCCTTCCTCCTCCCTCTGTCCTCTATGCGTTCTGAGGTATCTTCCCATCTTTGTTTCTTTGTTTCTTTTTTTCCTTTTGGCAAGGCATTTGGAGTTAAGTGACTTGTCCAGGGTCACACAGCTAGTGTCAAGTGTCTGGTCTGAGACTGGATTTGAACTCAGGACCTCTTGACTCCAGGGCTGGTGCTCTACCTGCTGTGCCACCTTGCTGCCCCTTCTTCCCATCTCTGTAGCTTGGATCCCCTTATTTCGCTTCCTGGGAACACGTGACTGCTTCTTATCCAAACCAAGAGTTTCAAGGGGCAGAGTAGCTAGGAGAATCCCCCCAAACAGGTAATAATCATAACTAAAAGCCCAACCCACTCAGAGTGGCAACACGAGTTTATCAGACTCTCTGGGAGTTTTTAACTCTGCAAGCAAGTTGTCCACAGCCGCTGCTTCTCACGCTCTGGAGAAAATGCCCGGCTTTCCTGGTCATGGGAGGAGGTGGAGGAAGGCTTCAGAGGATGGATGGGATTTGTCAGGTGACAACGGGGAGCGAGGGCATTCCAGGCACAGGGAACAGCCCAAACACCCCAGCCGGGAGCCTCTGAAACTAGATCTTGGGGGCAGATTGTGGGGAGCTGGTGACGGCGCCTGAGCTGTTGCTGGGAGACTCTGGGCAGAGGGGCTGCTCACACCAGCCCAAACCTGGGGGGCGTGGGGGAGGACTTACAGGTGCCTTCATCAGAGCAGTCTCCACAGTCATTGAAGCCATCACATTTCTGATCCTCAAACAACCAGGACGTGGGGTTGCTGCAGTGGAACACCAAGAAACTGGGGAGGCTGTGGGGGATGTTGCCTAGAGAGGAGAAGGCAGAGACAGAGGGCATGGCCTGAGGACAGCTGGTTCCACTTTAAACCAGTTAAGGCAGCAGGCGAGGCTCGGGTGTCTGGGGGAGGAGTAGCCTGTGGTGATTTCGCCAGACCCTGACATCCTCTGCAGATGCCTGAGCCTTGGCCACCTCCCTGTCCATCCCACCTGCCCATACTTCACCCACTCTGCCTCCTAATGGCCTCTAAGAGAGAAGAGGCAATCCTGGGCATGGAGAATCTTGAATCAAAATCCAGCTATTTATTCACTACCTGTGTGACCTTGGGCCTCAGTTTCCTAATCTATAATATGGGGCTATGAGGCAGTGTGACCTAAAGAAAGGCATCATGGGAAAGTGGGTAAGAGCACCAGCCTTGGGGTCAGGAAGTCCTGGGTTCAAGTCCTGTCTCTGACACATTAGTGTTACCCAGCCCCTCAAAGCTCTTCCAGGCCACAGAGACTAGCCGGTATAGAGCAGGAGCTGACTGAGCAGAAGCCTCTGTCCTAGTTCACAGGTCTGGCCAGAGAAACCACCAAAGTCCGAAGCCGAGGGCCAGCCCACACTTACCACACAAGGCTTCTTCTTCGTCCTCTCCGTGTGCGCAGGAACGGACGCGGTCACACAAGAGGCTGGCAGGAATGCAAGTCTCCCGGTCATCACACAGGAAGCCTGTCTGGTTGGACGCAGTTGCACAGGCCCTGGTCACTGAGGAAGAAAAGCCACGGAAAATGGCTCAGTCAGAACCCAGTGTGCCCACGTCATCTGCCCACGGCTACCCCTGTAGCCAGGCCCCCCAGAGGGGCTTCATAAAGGCCCATGATTGACACTCTCATTAATCACTCCTGCTCCAGGACTCTAGAGCCCAGGGAGGGCCTGTGGAGGAGAGTAGGGAGAGCAGGGGAGGAGCAGGATCTTTCAGGGTCAATGCCACAGAGCTGAGGATTTCCAGCACCTTTCTTTTTGGCTTGGGGCACAGGCTTCTTTGGCCCACTGAGCTCTGAAGCTGGCACCACCACAAAGCCTCAGGACACTCAGAGAATGCCCAGCTTTGCTTCACTAAGAGCAGCCATCTCTGACGTATCACGAGGTTAGTGCATATGTATAATGGGCAAATTGTGTTTACTTTAAAAATGCCACTCATTCTGGGTAAGTACAATGTCTATTAAACCAAAATATTTATAAATTTTATTTTATCTTCAAGATCATGGCAACTAAAACTTTCTGGGCCATCTAGAGAAACTTGTGGCGCACGCGCACACACACACACACACACACACATACACATACCCTTTGACAACCACTGCTCTCATGAGTAGCCACAAGGTAGGAAGTGTAGCAGTAGAGACACCCAAGACTTCACAGGGGGAAAGAAGCCAAGAAAGGAGACAGTAATAGAACCCATGGCTTCAGATGCTTAAATACAAATGCCCCAAGTTGAGGCAATAAGAATGAAAAACTAGAAGTTCTGATGCAAGGAGTTCAATTTGTCTGCACAGATACCCCCGAGACTGGTAGGGTGAGACCTGCACCTGAAATATGCCACTGATGAGTAGAATTTATTCAGAAGAAACAGGATTGGAACAGCATTGAACATTCATGAGAGGAAGTCCAGGAACTAGTAAAAGGAAATAGGATGGAGAATACTGTGGGCAAATAACAGTAGAGGGAGAAAGAGAAGGCCTATTGTTAGTAGACTAGGCTAGAGACCACTGGGACAGAAGAGAGAAACTGATAAGGAGTGTGGGAAACGAATCAAACGTGGCATAGAGATATGATCTTAGTAATGATGAGGAACTTCAATTATCCAGACACGTATTAGATTTCTGTCTCTGCCTCTTTTTCTCCTTTTCTCTCTGTCTCTTTCCCTCTGTGTCTTTTACTGTCTCTCCCTTTTTTTCTTCTCTCTGTCTCTCCCGCTGTTTCTGTCTCTCGCCTCTCTTTTTCCTTCTCTCTCGCTCACTAATAATTTTATCTTTCTAAAGGTGGCTAGACAATGGGGTAAAATGACTTGCCCAGGGTCACACAGCTAGTGTCAAGTGTCTAAGGTCACATTTGAACTCAGGTCCTCCTGACTCCAGGGCTCTATCCACTGCACCACCTAGCTGCCCTGAGATTCAGTGCTTTTGTGGGAAACGTGAGAGCTGGGAGGCCAGTGTCTTCCATGTTCCCAACCAAACTTGAGTCTTTCTAATAGTAAGGCACAGGTCTTGTCCTTGATGGTACAAGGATGTAGAACGTCAGAGGCGGAAGTCTGACCCAAACCAGGCATTCCTTTTAACCTCCAAGGGTGAGTCGTCTAGTGAGGTGACCCACACTAGGGCACCAAAGCACCATGTAACCTTGAGGAACACGCCACCCAGTAGAGAAGGAAGCAACAGGGGATGGCCATATTGGCCAGCACTTACAGGTCCCCCAGGCCACGTTTGCAATGATGAGCTTTGGGGGTACCTCATTCAACCTCTATATGAGCAGGGATTCCCTTGATAGGATCTTTGACATGTGGTCATCTAGCCTCTCCAGGAGGAGCCTTGGGCTGTGCCCTGCAGGCCAGGGATCTTACTTGGAGATGGCGGCGGGAGCCCGAAGCTGCTGACCAGCCAGAGGATGAGAGTCAGCAATCCAAGGAGGAGCAAGGTCCAGGCAGAGATCCAGAAACCTCGGCGAGTGCAGCAGGAGAAGGGGCTGCAGCAGTCTGTCCAGGAACATGGAGAAGGTGTGACTGTCGCAGGCCCAGGGGAGCCGGGGAAGCATGAGGGACTGCGGGCGCCAGGCTGCCTGCGGTATCTCTTGTTTACTCAGCACGGTCCATCTCACCCTCTGGGAGCTTTCAGTCAAAACCCCATGACATCAGGCCAGGGCTGGGCCGAAAGCTTCCCCTCCAACTCTCTTTCCACCTTGCCAAAGGCAGGATCTCCTCTGGGGGGTGGGAGGGGGTATTCCTGTGCTGACACAGGGCCGACTCCTCCGGGCTTCGGTGTGTAGTCTGCAGCCCTTGCTGGGTCTCAAATGATGCATTCCCATGTGGCCCGCCTCAGCTTTCCCACACTCAGCATCCCCAGGACCCTGCCTCCAAGAGCCTCAGAGACAGTGATGCTTCCAGCCCAGGGTCCTCTGCCCCCATCCTGGGAAGCTGCAGCCCTGGAAGAAGAGGCCCAAGCCCTGACCCTCTGCCTGGCCGTTGCACCTTGCAGCTGAACCCCTCCTATGTGTTATCTCCCCCATTACACTGTGAGCTCCTGGCACTGAGAGCAGGGGATGTTTGACCCTTCTATTTGGGTCCCCGGTGCTTTGTACACATTAAGTGCTTAATAAATGCTCCATTCATTCATTGATTGGGACACACATATACAGACATGTACACATGTTGATATACATGCATGCATACATGTACACACATATGCCTGCAGACAGACAGACAGACACACCCTTGGAAGGCAAGCTTTTCCAGCCTGGTTTGGGTTGCCTGTTTGCTCTGTGGGCACAGCCTGGGAGAACCCGGTGGCACCTCCTTGGTATGCCTGCCATATTCTGCTGCCTCAAAGAATCTCAGAGAATATCTGGCTGCCTTCCAGACTCAGCTCAAATGTCCCCTTCTGCAAGGCCAGGCAAGGCAAGGCAGGGCAAGAAGCATTTATTCGGTGCCTCCTGTGTGCCAGGCACTGGGTTAAGTGCTGAGGACATGAAATACAAGCAAAGAGAGAAGACCGTTCACTCAAGGAACTGACGCTCTAGCAGAGAAGGGAGCTGAAAGGCCAGAGGACCTCTGTGGAGGTGCCCAAGCAGGGCAATATTGTTGAAGTTTGGAGAGTATGGAGTCAGAAGCACAGCTGGGAGGGGAATGAAGGTTGGTTGGCCTGGGCTGCTCTCCAAAAGACAGGAGGCCTTTTCCAGTTTCCCCTTGAGGCTCTAATACTTCAAAGACATTCTGAAAAAGTTTCCATCAGAGGAACTTTAATCAAAGGATGCTTTGATGCTTGAAGACCCAATTTTGGGGGACCAGGAACACAGAGCAGACCCCATATCACCAGAGTACTATGAATGGGTGGGGCAGTGAGGGGAGGCAAGGAGGAGCCCGGACCTTGCAGTCCTCAGACCAGGGTTGGATCTGGGTCTTGGCCATTTGCCAGTGCTGGGCCCTGAGTGAGTCCCCTCCCCTCTCTGAGACTCAGCAGAAAAGGAATAAGCCTGTACCTCCTACCTCCCAGGACTGCTATGGTGATTCAATAACATAATGGATATGAAATGCTTTGTGAATTTCAGAGGGCTGGGCCCTATCAGGGATCGTTGTTACACTGAGTTGGACAGGCAGTTCCCATGCTTGCCACCCAACAGTACCACCCCCAGAGCACTGCCCAGCTCCGGGGCAGGTCAGCAGGAAGATAAGCCTGAGGGACAGTTGGGCCTGCCTCATTAATCTTCAACAGCTTGGGTTGACTTCTTTGATAAACTGGGCCATCCCTGCAATAAGAAAGCTTCAGGAGGCCCCCCCCCACCCCTGTCCGGGCCCCCAGAGGATTTTCAGGGATTGCTTAAGACAATGACACCAGAGGCACTTACCTTCTTCACTTTCAAAGGTCTTGCTTTCCCCTGCTGGGTTTCCATCTGAGGTCCTTGGCTAATGGCGAGAGAGTGGAATGGAGGCTGAGAAACACTGGTTTGTAGTGCAGAAAAACTCTCACATCACTGCACAGTTTGTGTTCTAAGGTTGCTCCCAGACTGGGGATCCCATGTTCTAGGCTCCCTCTCAGCATGGAAATTCCATGTTCTACGTGTTTCCTCCCAATCCAGGCATTCCAATTTCTCAGTTCCCTCCCTGCTGCCTAATGGCTAGGATACACGGCTCCCATTTCTCCTTAGTTACTCTTCCTCGTCAAAATGGAAAATCAGGATTTCTGTGGGATGGCCATCACTGTTGAACTAGATGTTCTAGCAGAGAAGAGAGTTCCCCTTGCCTTCCCCTTTCCCGGCCAGTTTGCCAATGCTTCATTAGAAAGGACATGGTTTTCTTTTGTGCCCTGGAGCACCGTCCTTGGGCTTCCTTGGCACGTCTTGGTGGTGCGCAGTACAGTTCTGTTATTCTCCTTCCCGCTAAGAAACTGCCTCCCTGCCTCACCCCAAGGACTGTTCTTACGACTAAGTGCATAGATGCCTGTTACCTGAGGAAAGATTCTGTTCATGGCTGCCTCAGTGTCCACAGGAGCCTGGAGCAGTAATCTTGGATGGGAGAGAGGCGAAGCCTGCTTGGAGATCTGTCTGGACTCTCAGATTAAGTTCCCTCCTGGTCCTGCAGGTTTCAGCAAGGACTGAGAGCCAGGACCTGGAGCCAGGACCTGGTTTGTTACCTGGTCTCTAAGGGAGCGGACAATAAGGAAGGAGGCTCTCTCATTCTCTGGCACATACCTGTGAGGTGGTGACTGCTCCCCCACCCCCTCCCTTGCCCTTCTCTCCACCCACCCTCCTTTCCCAACCCTGATTAGCTCAGATCAGCCTTGGTCCATCTCCTGGGTCACAGGGGAAAGGGACATCTGTGGAGGTGCCCTAACCCCTAGTGGACAGTCACAGAACTACACAAGCTCAGTCCTTGACCAGGGATTTTCAGAGATCCACAGCAAAGTAGAGTGTAAGCCCTGTCAGGGTAAGGATTGTTTCTATCCCAGCACAGTGCCTGCCACATAGTAAATGCTGATGAAATTGAATTATTGAATCAAATACCTGAGAGTCTGGCCTGACAGAGGAACTGTCATGAAGCCTCCTTTCCCCTCCCCCTACTCCCATACCCCAGCCCCCACATACATCTGTGATGCCTGAAATTCTAATTCATTCCCTAGCAGGAGATGAGGTTAAAACTGCAGCTATCACTGAAAGACGAAGGTGCTAGGAGGCCTCATGGTGGAGAAGGAAGGAAGCTTGACTGAGAGGCAGAAGAACTAGTTCTCATTCTCTGTGTGACCTTGGACTAGTCATTTCCCCCCAGGGGAGTTTCCTCTACTATAAAATGAGGGGATATTATGATCCCTAAGCTCCTTATTAGATCTGCCAGAGACTGAGATCTCTGATTTTTGGGTAAGGTCTGTGCTTAGAGCAAAACCAAGAACAAAGATTCTGTTGTAAGGCCCCCTCCAACTCTGACCTTCCCTGTTCTAAGGCCCTCCCAACTCTCACATTCTAAGGTCCCTCCTAGATCTAACCTTCTTTGGTCTAACATTTCTTCCAGTGTTGATGTATCTTGCGTTCTAAGATTTCTCTCAATTCTAAGGCTCCTCCTAACTCTGACATCCTCTGTTCTAAGGTCCCTCCTGGATCTGACATTCTTTGTCCTATATTATATGGTTCTCTGACTTAACTGGCCATCAAAGCATATACTGGATCAATCCAACAAAAACTTGTAACGTGTTTCTGTGTGTGCAATTCTGCACTTATCGAATAAAGAGAAATAGACCTGGCCCCGTCCTCCCAGAGACTTAGCTGGAGGATAAGCCTGGAAGCAAACACCCTCTAGAGAGAAGAACAAGAAAGAGGGGTGATGAGAGCTCTGAGGAAGGAGAAGTGATGAGGTGCAGCTGGGGAGGGGCTCTCATGACGGTCAACGAAGGTTTCGTGTAGAGGGCTGGGGCCTGGCCATAGAAAGAGGGATGGCTTCCCCCAGAAAGGCCCTATGGTGTAGGGCCAAGGGCACTGGACGGTGCTCTTGACCCTGACTCACTGTAAAACCTTCTGCAATGGACTCCTGCATGGGCCTCAGCTTTCTCATTTGTAACAGGAGACAGTTGCGCTGGACCATCTTTCAACCACAATTTGAGGTCTGGCAGCATGGCTCCTTCTTCTCACCAGGTGCCTCTGCAAGGCCCTGCCCAGCTGCAGGGGACGAGCCTGGGCCTCACGAGACCTGTCCACCTGGCGTAGCAGCCAGAGCACCAGAAATTACGACGTCGTGATCCCGCTACATCAGGGGCACAGCATGGCCACCATCCCGTCTCCTTTGGCTGTGGGGCTGGACCTCAGTTTCCTTGAGATGTTTCCCCTTTACCAAAAGAACTAAAGTGAGCTGATGTCAGTGATCTTGGAACGGTCATGGAGAAGAGGGGGAGGAAAGGGAAGGGAACAAGCATTTATTAAGCACCTACTATGTACTGGGCCTTGTGCTAAGCACTTTACAAGTGTCTTATTTGATCCTCACAACAACCTTCTGAGGTAGGTGCTATTGTTATCCCCATTTTACAGATGAGGAAATTGAGGCAGGCAGCGGGTAAGTGACTGGGCCAGGGTCACACAGCTAGTAGGAGTCTGAGGTCAAATTTGGACTCTGGCCTTCTTGACTCTGGGCCCAGCGCTCTATGCACTGCACCCTGAAGCTGCCTCTGAGAAGGGCAAACGCCCTGATTTTCTGTAAGAGGGAGGGAATGGGGTTTGCCAGCTGCAGCGGGCCAGCAAGCTTGACTTTGATTCCTGGTAAGACTCTAAAGCGATCATTACTAATAACGCTGTCGTCACTGTAACCTGCCAGATCCCAAGGCCAGCTCAGGGCCACGGAAGGGAAGCTAGTCTGAACTTCGAGCCGCGTCAGTCCCACCTCCTGCACCACTCCTTCAGCTGGACTGAATTTAGTCTGGCATACCAGGAATTGAGAAATCTCCGAGAGGCAAGAAAGGTGAAGCGGGAAGTGTGCGAAAGGAATCAGAGACGGCTGCCCTTTGTTCTCAAAGAGGACCCAAATCACATCACTGTGTTAAGGGTCAAGTTATAGCATGTCTGACTGTGGCTGGTCAGACCAGTACGACCTCAGAAGGCTCTACCACGGGTTGAGCACGAATAATCCATGTGAACATTTGGGGTGGATTCCCTAAATTTGCACATCTCATATTTCTTTTCTTTTTTTTTTTGGTGAGGCAATCAGGGCTAAGTGACTTGCCCAGGGTCACACAGCTAGTAAGTGTCAAGTATCTGAGGACAGATTTGAACTCAGATCTTCCTGACTCCAAGGCTGGAGCTCTATTCACTGCACCACCTACCTGCCCGAATTTCTTTTGAGCTATTTCAATTCTGCTTTGCTCATAGAGCACAGCACCTTCTTTGATGAGGGCACACCTTGCTGGGTGGTCCTTTGCTAGCATCTCCCATGACACACAATCAATCCCAAAGTTCTTCAGAGAGACCTTGAGAGTGTCCTTGTATCACTTCTTCTGACCATAATGAGTGCTTGCCTTGTGTGGGTTCTTTGTAAAATAGTCTTTCATTTATTTATTTATTTTGTGTTTGTTTGTTTATTGGTAATTGGAGTGAAGTGACTTGCTCAGGGTCACACAGCCAGTAAGTGTCAAGTGTTTGGTCTGAGGCTGGATTTGAACTCAGGTCCTCTTGACTTCAGGGCCAATGCTCTATCCACTGTGCCACCTAGCTGCCCCATCTAGTACCTTATCTTGCCAGGTGATCTTCAGAATCTTCCTAAGACAATTCAAATGGAAATGATCCATTTTCCTGGCATGGCGTTGATATATTGTCCAGGCTTCACAGGCGTACAACAATGAAGTCAGTGGCAGCTACGTGGTGCAGTAGATAGAGCGCCGGCCCTGGAGTCAGGAGGATCCGAGTTCAAAGTCAGCCTCAGACACATAACACTTACTATCTGTGTGACTCTGGGCAAGTCACTTAACCCCAATTGCCTCACTAAAACAAAAACGAAAAACTTAACAATGAGGTCAGCGCAAGGGCTCTGCACACCTTCAGTTTGGTAGTCAGTCTAACACCTCTTCTCTCCCACACTTTCCTTTGGAGCCTCCCAAACACTGAACTAGCTCTGGCAGTGTGTGCGTCAACCTCATTACCAATGTGTATGTCCCTGGAAAGTACGCTGCCGAGGTAAGTAAACTTATCTACAGTATTCAAAACTTTTCCATATAGATGGTGTGGTGCTGGCTGATGGAGCACCTGTGTTTTCTTGGTGTTAATTGTTAGGCCAAAATTAGCACAAGCAGCAGAGACTCGACCCATGTTTTGTTGCATCTCAGCTTCACAGGCTGCATGGAGTGCACAATCATCTTTGAACAAAAAAATCACGCACCAACTCTCCCTTCACTTTAGTCTAGGCTTGTAACCTTTTCAAGTTACATAATTTACCATCAGTCCGGTAGCTGACCTTGATGCCGCGCTCACCTTCATCGAAGGTGTCTGACAACTCTGCTGAGAACACCATGCTAAAAAGCACTGGAACAAGCACACAGCCCAGAAAAGGCCTCAGCAGCCCTCACACCAGAGGTACTAGTCTTTCCTGAGCATACTCCACACCCCGGGAGACACTGAATTATTAATTACAATATCCTCCTAACATGTTTTTCTGCTTCTCTCCTATCCCATCCATTTTTCATGCCACTTCCAGAATTATCTTTCTTTCCTTCTTTTTTTCGGCTAGACAATGGGCTTAAGTGACTTGCTGAGGGTCACACAGCTAGTAAGTGTCAAGTGTCTGAGGCCGAATTTGAACTCAGGTCCCCGTCTCAAGGGCTGGTTCTCTACCCACTGCACCACCTAGCTGTCTCTAGTGTGGTTTTTTTTTTTTTTGGTGAGGCAATCAGGGTTAAGTGACTTGCCCAGGATCACATACTGAGGCTGGATTTGAACTCTTACACATGGGTCTGATCAAGTCTTTCCTCCACCCCAAAATCTTTAGTGGCTCTCTACTGCCTCCTGGGTAAAGTTCAAACTACTTGGGATTCAAGCTCCTCCATAACCTGGTGCCATCCTGTTCTTCTATTTCTTTGCATTGCTCATTTAAGAAAACCTCTCTCGTCGCTGTTCTCTGGAATTCAGCATTCAGTTGGGCATATCTTTCCTTTTTTCCTTTTCCTTTCCTTCTTTCTCCAGATGTTTATAAAGCCTCATCAGACAGCCATTCTGCTTTCTTGCTCTTCTTTTTCTTCAGAATGGTTTTTGTTGCTGCCTCCTGTACGATGTTGCAAATCTCTGTCCGTAGTTCTCCAGGCACTTTGTCTACCAGATACCATCCCTTAAATTTATCACCTCCACTTCACATTCATAAGGGATGTTATTTAGGTCATATCCATGTGGTTTATTTCAGTCTGAATTTTGCAGTAAGAAGCTCATGATCTCAGTCACCTTGTTTTAACTGACTGCCAAGAGCTTCTCTACCTTTGGTTGCAAAGTACAGAATCAATATGATTTCTACATGGATCATCTGTATAGTCGCCTTTTGGGTTGTTGAAAGAGTTTGTTATGACCAGCAAGTTAATTCTGACAAAACTCTATTAGTCTCTGTCTTGCTTCACTTTGCACTTTAAGGCAAAACTCAAAAATCATTGAGTGATTTCTGTTTGAATCCAAGG